AGCGCTTTCTTTCTTTTTTTACTTTTTTTTCTTTTTTTTTTTTTTGAAGTGAAAAAAAAAAATTTCAAAAAAATTTATACTTTTGGAATTTACGCAACTAGAGGAACTAGAAAAATTTTAAATTTTAAATAGTTCAGAAAGGACTCCCAAAAACATTGGTTTTTTGGCTTTTTTGTTAGGTTTTTTTTTTTTGTATTTAAAAAAAAAAATTGAAATTTTTTCTTACTTTTTAGATTCATCCTAAAAAATTAAAAAAATCGACATAATTTTAATTAGAGGTGAGCAGCGAATATATCGATCCGCCTAAACTGATCGAGCCGAACTGAGCTACCGTATTTTGGACGAATGCATGATAACAAACGAACGGTTGTAGATTTATTTTTTTCAATTTGCCTACTTTTGGACGAATGACGAATTTGAGGTTTTGTTGGCCACAACCAAACTGCCAAACAGCGAGCATCCCTAGTGATTGTACGACTTTGTGTTTTCAATTTATTTAGATATTATGTTTGTGTTTTCAATTGGAAAAAGAGTTTAAATATTCTGTTGAATATATTCTATTGAAAAATAGTTTTCAACTTGAATATATTTTTTGAATTGAAAAAAATAAATGTATTATTTATCTATATTTTTTTATTTTTAAATCTAACTTTAAAAATAATAATTAAAAAAAATGATATATGTTAGTTGGTTTTTGTTTTAAAAAACAGATATAGATATAATAATATAGAGACACATAATCTCTACTACCGCTATGTTTATGGTTTTGGTGGTTTAAATTGTTTTTATATTTTGAGAACCACAGATTGTAATACTTTGTGTGGATGAGGCATACTGTGATTATAATATGTGGATGTGGATGAGGTATGCAGTGATTGTAATATTCTAAAATTTCAAACTCTCTTTCTTTGGATGAGACATGTAGTGATTGTAATATTTTTTTAAGTCATTGACTCTAATACTTTTTAAAAAAAAAAAAAGTAAATGCACAAGTTGAATTATGTTGAAAATTTATAAAATTTTAAATTGTCAAATCGATTCGCATCCATCCGCTAATCCGTTTAATCCACATCCGCCGGATTGGCGGACGGACGTGGATTGATTTTCTCCAATCCGTCAATCTGATAAACGGATGGCGAATTGGAGGTTTTGTAACTATAACCGACTTGCACCCACCCCTAGTTTTAATAAAAGATCACTAAAAGTAAAAAAATTCAAAAAAAAAAAAAATGTAACTATTTTAGTCGAATGCCAAAAAACTCAGCAGGCACCGAAAACCCGCAGCCAAAATTGTTTGATTAATTCAACAACTCAGCTAAAATTTTTGGATAAAGTCGGACTCGGAACCTTCACATGAACCAGCTAAATTGACTTTGTGAATAAGATTCTTTCCATTTCATGCATTATCATAGAGTGTACGCATTAATAAGATGAAGATAATGACAACCCTTCTCATTTTTTGTCTTTTTTTTTTTTTTTGGTGTTTCTTCTTATCTCTCCAAATCATCTTCTTTACAAAGCATATATGTTAATAATAAGATGAAGATGGTTCACTTCTTTTTCTTTTGTTTTTGGGTTAATTTTTTGTTGTTAATGAAAATGGTTCATCTTTTCAAATTCTGTGTTTAATTTAAATATATTTATTTTGCCAATTTATTTTTGTAAGTTATTGTCAAAAACAAAATGTAATAAATGTGAACTTATTTATTTTATTTATTTTTGATGTACTTATTTTCCAAAGTTACTTTATAGGAATCGTTGTCAAAACGAAATGTAATATATGTTTTGTGTGCCAATGTCAGAGTCGTTGTCAAAACGAAATGTAATATATGTTTTGTGTGCCAATGTCAAAGCCGATACAATTTCTTAAAATTTGATGCACAAATAGTATGAATGCAAGAAATTGTTAGTACAAAAAGGGAAAAAAAGAGGAAGAAAGAACATTGATTTTATAATGCAAACAAAAAACATATCATTATAATCGGAAATTAAAATTAATTTGCATAACTCCAAAGCCCTAACTTTAAAAGGCAATGTTGCCTATGAAAGATTTCGTCCTTTTGACAACAACATTCACATCTTTTTACCAGTTTCACCATTATATAATTAGGGCAGTGTGTGAAAATATATTTCACATTTTATGTGAGAATTCATGTACTAATAATATATTTTATCATTGACAAATGTATTTTAACATTTTATTTCACTTGTTCACTATTTCCATAGACATTATGTAAACATGACGAGCCACACTATATTTACAAAAAAATGAAACCCACCATAGTGCAATGAAAAATTAAATATGAATGGAAGAAAAACTACTAAAATTTGGACTTTTTGCAACAGAATTATATAGTTGCAAAAGATACACTTACTGTCTCAAATGACTTTTTGTAACGGAGTAGCGGCAGGAAAGGGAGAGATAGAAGGGGGCGGAGCAAAAGGCATTTGCGATGATCACAAACTATCACTTTCTTTTAGCGATGATAATTCAATAATTTTTGCAATGATTTAACTTGACACTGAAAAGTAGGAAGTACCTTAATTTTTAGCGACGGTTTAAGATGACGTTACCAAAAAGAAATTTTTAGAGATGATAGTTGTTGTCGCTAAAAATAGTATTAGTGATGATTCACACCATCGCAAAAGAGAGTTAAATCATTAATGTATTCATGACAATTAAACCGTCACTAAGTACTATGTATATAACAGTTTAAATTGTCGCTAATAATCACGAAGGAAATGATGGCTATATTAGCGACAGTTTATTATTATCGCAAACAAAAATATTTTCCTAAAATAAATATATTTTTTGTTAATTCATTGTAGTTTTGTGACGATTTCCAGACGTTACAAATATAAATACAAAAAAATAAATAAATAAATAAAATGTATTAAAATTATTTTCTTATATAAATTATTAATATTTTCTGAAATAAAATACATTCACATTCACAATATCAATTATTAATATTTCCTGGAACAATAATAAATTCACATTCACAAAATTACATATGAATGATAATATATACTTCCTGTAACACTACAGAATCAACCAAACATTCATTACAAAAATATATAAAATATCTTGGTAATAAACTACCACTAACGCTTTCCCTTTTATATTAAATGCTGATGTACGTAATCTTAGAATGTAATGTAATATCAATATGAAGACAAAACTTCCAAAATTGATGAGAGCCCATCAAAACATATGAAAATGAATTATGTTAGTAGTAAAAATATAAAGGAAATACTAATAACTGCACATTAAGTGATAGTTAAAGTTGATATACATGTAAAAAATTTAAAGTATATAAAAATATGAATAAAAAATAAAATTTTAGGAAATGATAGGAGGCTCTTCGATTTTTTAAGAAATAAAACGTCTTCAAGTCATTTTATAGGTAAGTCGTAAGATGAACGAGAACCTATGTCGTTTCGACTTTCTAAACATGATTTTGTAATTTTTTTTAAAGTCTATCTTTGAATGCTTACCTTTTGGAGCGTATTTAAAGAAAGTAAACGTTTATTTGAGAAAGAAAAATGAGTGGGAGCACTAATTAGTGCTACCACTAATGATATGACAGTAGGTCTCACCATGAATGATTTGATATTTTGGCCTTGATGTTGTTTTTTTTTCTTTTTTTATTGAGTGCCATATCATTAGTGGTCTTTTTAGAGTTTCAAAATTAGTGGTCTCTATCATTGTTGATTTGAGAAATATATCTCTCGTATCATCTGGACAATGACCATTTTTACAAATAAATAAAACCCAAGGGGGCATCTAGTAAAATCGAGATTGCGTAACGCATGGGGGTAAATGATAATAACAATAATAATGGGAATAAAAATGAGTAAGTTGCGGTTAAAAATAATGAGAAGGAAGAGCAATGATCACATGCACTCAATCCCATCATAACACTCCCGTAAGCACTTCACTACCATGTGATCTGATTCAAGCTACAAAGTGACATCATAAGTGTCGTAACGTACAGATATTATTGTCTCTATGGTACGTTATAAATCATATATCATCACTCTCCTCATGAGAGTCTTCTCTTTTTCAATAATTAATCCCATTTTTCTCCTCTATTCTATTGGTCTAATTATATATTTAGAAAAAAAATACAAATCAATGGTGATTTGAGAAAATAATTATTAATATATATATATATATATATATAATTTACAATTGTAATCATTTTTTACAAATACTTTTGAAACAATAATTACACTAACGATAAAAAATTTCTTAATACAAGTTTGATATAAAAATAAAAAAAAACCTCATATCTCATGAAAATGAAAAACAGAAAAATCACTATCTTAGGGGTGATAAATGAATCAAATAATTCGAATTTGACTAGTTAAAAATTTATTCAAATTCAGTTCGTAAGCAAATAAGTTAACATTGAACGTATCTTGAAACTTATTAAAGTTTTAAAACAAAATTTAAACAATTGATTACTTATTGGGCTCAAAAATTGAACAACTCGACAAAAACTCGTTTGAGATTCACTAAAAAAATTAACAAATCAAACTTTAACAAATTTTAAAATTTGTTAAAATTTTTAAACCAAACTTAAATAATTTCAAGTTAACTGTTTGGCTCGTTTACTACTCTTATTCTCTCTCCTTTTTTGTCCACATTTAGACTGAAAAGTGTTGTTTGAATTCACCGAACCATTATGGTACCATTTTAATAATATATTTTTAAGATTTTACATGTATATCTTTTATTAAAAAAATTAAATTAATTTAATAAAATTTCTTCATTTTATAATATTTAATTTAATTTTTTTATAAATAATATAACTAAATAAATTCACTAAATAAATATTTGGATAATTAAAACAAGAAAACATCCTCAAATTGATTTTTGGACAAGAGAAAAACCGTGTTCATAATGAGACATCACCAAGTCTAATAGGGTCTTCTTTCTTCAATAATTAATCCTATTGTTTTTTTTCCTCTTATTTTGTTCACATGTAACGCTCGTATCCTCTCTCTCTCTCCCTCTCTGTGTATATATATACACACACACTCTCTCTCTCTCTCTCTCACTAAATTGATGATATTCCATCTTCCACCAATCCCTTTCTTGGTCTGCTTTTTTCAGTTTGGCTTGGCGGTCTCGTCTCTGACGAAGCTGACACTTCGCAGCAGATGTGAATTCCGACCGGTGAGTCTCCATCTCCGGCCGGTGAGGTTAGGGTTTTTTTTAGTTGGTGTGCTGAGAGCTCGATTTTCAGCTACTGTAAAATTGACAAATTGTGATGTATCAACCTCATGCTTTTGTTTCTATATGCCTTTGCTTCTCTTAGGGTTTCTGTACCACTTTCACAAGTGTTTGTTCACTGTTTGTTTGTTCCTTTTCTCGCTTCAATTCAGTGAAATTTGCGTATTAGCTTTATTTTCAAGTGAATTTCGCCGAGGTTGTTAACCAACAATTTGTTAAAGATAAGTTTTTTATTTGTGTGTGTGTTTGTGTTTTTTGGGTTATGTTTTTGGTCCTATATCATGATATAAGGATTATGCATAGACGCAGAGTAGATACGGAAACCCATATCGTATATGGACATATGCATTTCATGTTATGTGATTTTTTTGGTTGATTGGTTGGAATTCTGGATCTCTGAGGAGAGATTGTGCTTTGGGTTTTTTGAGTTTGAGTTTGTTTTTATGCAGTATTGTCTAAAATGGGGTGTTGGAGGTTGGATCTGTTTCAGTTACGATTTATGACAATCGAGCTCTATTAAGGTAGTAGAAGTTACGTGGCAGGTGTTTTTTAATTTAATCTTTTTGTCACTACTTGATAAAAATGAGATGGAATGATTTACAGGAATGTTTAAATTTGTTACAACACAATCGTGTGCCGGGATACGTTATGATCACGTAGAATTGTTGAATTCGAATTAATGGGATAATAAATGGGGTCCATACAGATGATATGTAATTTAAACAAACATAGAAGAATTGAGTCTGTGAATGATATGCAATGAATAATGGGAACAATTAGTCTATAGTATTAAACTTGATTTGATAAATGCAGGCTTTTAGTTGTTTAAATTAGTATTACTAGCAAGTGGTCACTCACTAGTTTAAGTTGTGTTGGCAAAAGAAAAGAACCAGAAGCTTCAATATCAGTGAATCCAATGACATGTAATCTATTGTTAAATGGTCTAGTTTATTTATGAAGAAGAAATTGAAGAGTTGTTGGTTATATAAATGATATACTTTTTGTTATTTTATTGTTTGTGTTTGGAAATTGGTTGGTGCTACCTTGGGCTTGGTACCATAATTTTGTGTAATGGAGGTTGCAATTGGAACTGTGTATGAGTATGAGGACTTCACTAGATCTATGTTTTCAATGCTTGCTATATAGTGAGGTTTTGAGACTTGGCAGAGATCATGTCAACTCAGCCAAGTCATGTTAATCTCACAGGCCATCAGAGCATATGGAGTGTGAGACAAGGGATTGGTGATATTTGGTCAGCTTGAGGGGATGTCTTGGGCATCTCAGAGAGACCATGCATCACGAATTGATGTGTTTTTGTCTTGCTATATGTGGAGAGATCTCGAGACATAGATTGGGCTCATCAAATTGTAGGGTTGTGACAAAATTTGAAGCTTGACACTGTCTTATACAACAATTGCATTAAACAAAAGGTTTTTGGTTGTGCTATTAAAACCATCTAATTTAAATGGGAAATATTCCGTACATTCCATAAACGTTAGTGTTGTTATTCTGAATATGCAATTATGACATACATGGTGCAACACTAGGACAAAATTCTTCTGAATCTGACTAGCTTTACAAACTTTGTGCATCCATGTTGAAGCTATTGAAATTTCCTTATGCAGGATGATGCCTTTGATTTGAATAGATTACTAGCTCGGCAAGTATTAATATATGCTAACTTTTTAACTTGAACAACTTTTCTTTGGGCATACCTGTTTATATGCTTTCCCTGTAGGGGATTGTTTTTTAAACCTGCTATAGGGATATCAGAGAAATCTTCCCTTTTTTGGCTTCTATGATGAGTCCCTCCTTTTTCTTCTTGTTATCGAGGGGCATGTTAGGAATTGACCCTTACTAACTAAGATCGGTGAGACACGAAATAACAAACAATGAAGAAAAAAACGAATCAAACAAATCACACACACACAAGAACACAAGGATTTACATGGTTCACCCCAGAATAGGCTTACGCCCATAGCTGCTGCGGTTTTCATTATGATCAGAAAAATACAGCTCTTGCTTAACCGAAAAGGGGCGCCCCTCATCTATTTATAAGTATAGATATAGAGTTGCACGAAAGCAATATGGGAATTATGAAAGTACCCAAAAATTTCGGCCGGGAGGAGGGGGTAAACCCCCCGGACCCCCTCCCCCTTGGGGAGAGGCCCCCCTAAACCCTCCATTGAATGCAATGTTTGAGGGAACAGTAGGGTTGAGTGAACAGTACTTATCAGGGTCGGTAGGGCAGGTGGCGGTGTGGTTTTTCTAAAGTGTTTCTTTTGTTTGATGTACATAGTTTGCAACTCTCCTTCCTAATTTAATTCTTTCTATATTGAACAATTGATCCATGTTCTCAATCATTAATGTGCTGAAAAGTAGTTGACTTGTGAACTCCTTGTTTCTTTCTTTTTCTGGCTAAATTCTCACGTCAATTTATTTGCACTATCCATGTGTCCACATTATACGTGTCTTATGATATTAAAATAAAAAAATAAAAAAAATTTGCATGTGTATGACCTTGTTTCTCTTTTGTTTTGGGTTAGAAGCTAATATTGTTAGATTTGCATGCAGGGTCTTCTGGTGCGCAACAACTCTTTTTGAACCACCCCTGTATTGACATTCTTAAATGGAGTAGTTGCCTCTTTGTCATGCTCTTTCTTTCTGGAAACTTTGTGGAGAAGGCTATTGTACTTAAATCTCGATATCAAAACATACGATTGCCAAAGATAGTTACCAGTATGATGCACATGTGATAAATATTTCTTCTGATATAATTCATTTGTATTCAAAGTGTGGTTGTTGGAGTGAAATTTGCTCGTCTTTACTGTAAATTTGTTTACATAATCATGTCTCCTTGGTGGGGAAAATCTTCATCCAAAGAAGTAAAGAAAAAAGCAAACAAGGAAGGTTTCTTTGATACAATCCACAGAAAATTCAAGATTTCTTCTGAAGAAAAGTGCAACAGGCCTGGAGATTCTCGGAAACATTGTACTGACACTGCTTCAGAAAAGGGATCTCTGTCTCATGCACAGTTGCAATCACCATCACCATCACCCTCGACACAAGTATCACGCTGTCAAAGTTTTGCTGAAGGGCCTCGTGCCCAACCACTTCCCCTTCCTGGAGTGCACCTTACTAGTGTAGTTCATACTGATTCTACAATTAATGCATCAACTAAACCAGGATTTAACAAAGGCCTCAAGCCGTCACTTTCTCTGCCCCTTCCTAGACCTGAAAATTTTCCAAACAGGCCAGACCCTGCAGATGCTGTGGGTGATTTAACGACAGCTTCTGTTTCTAGTGATAGTTCGATTGATAGTGATGATCCTACTGAATCACGTCTCTTGAGCCCTCAGGCATCTGACTACGAAAGTGGGAACAGAACTGCTATGAACAGCCCTACCACGTGAGTTTTCATATGTATAGTTAATAATTAAGTTGTTTTTTCAAAATAGTATGATGTTCAATGCATGATAACCATGTATGCCTGTGTTGTCATTGTCTTTCTTCTGCTGTCTTTTCTGTTCCTTCAATACCTAACAAAGTTTCTTCTGTCTATGCTGAAGCTTAAAGCTTAAGGAACAATCCCCCGTTTCCAATCGAAAGAACGCAAGGGAGCTCTTGAGGCCAGCTAACATTTTGTTGAACAACCAGACTCACCCTACATCGCCTAAGCAAGGACTTGGAAGCACTCTTGTGCCAAATTTTCATATTCCCTACCATGGTGCTGTGTGTAGTGCTCCAGACAGCTCAATGTCAAGTCCATCTAGAAGTCCAATGAGAGTATTTGGCCATGAACTAGTCATGAACTCTGGTTTCTGGGGAGGAAAGCCCTATCCAGATGTAGCTTTGCTCGGGTCTGGTCAATGCTCTAGTCCAGGTTCAGGGCACAATTCTGGGCAGAATTCAGTAGGAGGAGATATGTCTGGACAGCTGTTTTGGCCGCACAGCAGGTGTAGCCCTGAGTGCTCTCCTATACCTAGTCCAAGAATGACAAGCCCTGGCCCCAGTTCCAGAATACACAGTGGTGCTGTCACCCCTCTGCATCCCCGAGCTGGCCTTGCAGCCATGGAGATGCCTGTAAAATGGTCTGATGAGAAGAAGCAACAAAGCCACCGGTTGCCCCTCCCCCCATTAACAATCTCTAACTCATGCCCATTTTCTCCTTCATATTCAACAACAACAACTCCACTGCCACGAAGTCCTGGCAGGGTAGAAACTCCAACAAGTCCTGGTTCGCGCTTTAAGAAGGGACCTCTGCTTGGAAGAGGCACATTTGGACATGTGTATCTTGGTTTTAACAGGTTTGTATTGCAAAGGGGCTGCAATTTCACTCTTCCTTTTACATTAATATTATCTATTTCTTATTGCAGATATTTTCCTCACGGTTGCTGGTATATTAAATATTGGTCTGATGACTTTATTTGATAGAGGCTTTTACTTGTGTGATCTTTCAGATTTGTTCATACATTTTATACAACCTATTCTTTTGTGCTGGTTTTTTGTCTGTGCTTTCGCATGTCTGATTTACTTTACTACCTGGCTTGTAGTGAAATTGGTGAGATGGGTGCAATGAAGGAGGTGACACTATTTTCAGATGATGCAAAATCAAAGGAAAGTGCACAACAGCTGGGACAAGTACGTTTTCTGGGTTGATATGTTGAAATATAGCAGTTTGAAGAATAAAAATTATGTCTTTATATGTTTTATTTGAGATTTGTCTTTGTGCATGTTTTTTGTAACTTGAGAGGAAAACTTCATACTTGCAATTGGTGTTTGACAGGAAATTGCACTACTGAGTCGATTGCAGCATCCAAATATAGTCCAGTACTATGGATCTGAGACAGTATGTCTTTTGTGCAATTTGGTGTAGTTCTCTACTTTTCTTTTTCAATTTATTTGTTATTTTTTTGCGTGTGTGCCATCTTAGTATTTATATATGCATATGAACAAGCTAGAAGAGTGGTCTATTTCATTTTTCTAGTAGTAGCTGTGAACTTTCTGAAACGTATGTAAATTTCGGGTCTGACTGTCATTGAGATTTGCATCATGAAGGATCTTTACATTATGATTGTTGTCCAATCTTCTATGGTTTTGAAAAAGCTGCAGTATTGTGTATTGAGTCAATGGATAACAATTGTCAATATTTTTAGGATTACTTCTCCTATATTTGTGTAAAAAATTTAATAAGAGTTGTTGTATGGTAGTATATCTTGACTTGAAGTTAATTCTTATGGGGTAATATTTGATCATTAGATGGCAATAGAGGGTTCAGATTGTGTTAACTCTTACTCTAAGCTCTGTATTCTTTCAACAGGTAGATGACAAACTATACATATATCTGGAGTATGTATCTGGTGGTTCCATCTACAAACTTCTTCAAGATTATGGTCCACTGGGTGAAATAGCTATTCGTAGCTACACTGAACAAATATTGTCTGGGCTCGCATATTTGCATGCTAAAAATACAGTTCATAGGTGAGTTTACCTTGTGTTAATTGTTGATTGCTTCTTATTATATTGTGGGCATGGCAATTTGTTTTAATCATCTCACAACAGATTTTTCTATGTACCAACCATTTATCTTCAGGGACATCAAAGGAGCAAATATACTGGTTGACCCCAGTGGCCGTGTGAAATTGGCCGATTTTGGGATGGCAAAACATGTAAGAAGATTTCTCTACATTTTTATGCATGCTATACTTCGACATGTTTGAACATGAAGCTGGTTCAGCAACATTCCATCTAAAATCAACAATGGCTTAAATGTCAGAAAAATTCATACAAATAATTGGGATAGGAATAATTAGGAAAATATGAGAATTATGAAAGTTCATAGCAGAGTTATAAAATTTAGCCTTGACATCAACCATTTCTGATGGCTGGTGAAGGGGTGAGTCATTCAACAGGTGGGTCAATCAGAAAAATATTATATCAAAAATCCGTAAATTCACAGTAAAATATTGGCATATTATAGACAAGTTACTTTTATTTATTATACACTTCGAATAAAATACACTTTGAATAAAATCCCTACTCCCTAGCAAACTTCCTTGCTTTAAGAAGTAAATGTGGAGTATTAGGTATGTGATCAACCAATGCTGCTTGAACTTAGTGTTTGCAAAATGGGGATTATATGCTGCATAGGTGGCCACTCTATTTTTTTTTTTTTTGTTGATATGACAGTTGCAGATTGTATGCCAACATTGATGTGAATATAATCTTTGGAAAGCTTTACTGTGAATGTCATGTATACGTAGCCAATTGAGGAAGCATGGAGATAAGCTTCCTGGGGAACAGAAAGAAAGGGAAGTGGGGGATGGGGATGTTTGGGAATAATTGGTTTAAGGACCCACTTGTTCCTATCTGTATCAAATCTCAATATTTTGTGCACATCTACATCTTTAATGAAACTGCATTCCTTCGTTTATCAAATTTAACCAATTTAATTTGCAGATTACAGGACAGTCCTGTCCATTATCATTCAAGGGAAGCCCTTACTGGATGGCACCTGAGGTTAGCATGGTTATATAGTCATCATTTGTCTCGCTTTTCTTGACAAAGCTTTCAAGTGATATTTCTAGATTGCATTGCTTGTTCAGGTTATAAAGAATCCAACCGGTTGCAATCTTGCTGTAGATATATGGAGCCTTGGGTGCACAGTTTTGGAGATGGCTACAGGGAAACCACCCTGGAGCCAATATGAAGGGGTTAGTGGATTTGAATGCAACAGGCTAAATTTCTTTCCTTTTTTTTTTTTTGTCGCACATAAGCAATGCTGAGTCTCGTATTAGCTAACAATATATCTTGCTGAGTGCTCTTTCATGCTAAAAAATATGTGATTGCTTGACCTTTCTTCTCTTATTATTTCTGGTGAAGGTTGCCGCTTTGTTTAAGATTGGAAACAGCAAGGAACTTCCTGCAATCCCGGAAAATCTCTCAGATGAGGGCAAGGACTTTGTGAGGCTGTGTTTACAGCGCAATCCTTTGCACCGTCCTACAGCCGCTAAGCTTTTGGAGCACCCTTTTGTAAACAATGCTGCAACTTTTGAGAGACCCATTCTAGATTCTGAACCTCCAGAGCCATCACCTACAGTTACAAATGCTTTGAGATCTCTGGTATGAGTGGCTTTTTTTGCTGTGCCTATGCTATCCTTTACGTTATTTGCAGCTTCTGCTATTATATGCCACTAGTTGCATTCATGCAAATTCTTGGTGGCACAAGCTTTTAGCATTGCACCAAAAGCAATGGCCCATCTCATAAATATAATTTTGAATAAATGAAAAATCTAACTAAATTAATGCTGGGAATTTTTTTTTTATATGTATATATAAATTGTTGGTTTCTGGTGTCCTATTGATTTTTATTAAATTGGTTGTCTTCTTTTAATTCCTGTTATATGTTTCAGCTTTTGTTATTTGCCTGGGCTTAACTCTTGGTTGATGCACTTGATGTTCTTAGGACACCGGACATACCAAAAACCTATCTTGCTTGGACTCGGAGGGAATGGCTGTCCATCACCCTAGGGGTTTGAAAACTAGTTCAGGATTCAGGTCTCTCTCTCTCTCTCTGTGGGACAGAAATGCACACAGGCATCTACATGCATGCATTAAATAAATCATGTCTACTTGCATTTTGGTTCCTTCAGTTTTTATGTAATTTGAGATTTGCATTTTGGTGCCGCCTTTATGCTGATGCAATTGCATAAATAATTCTCTCTTAAATCATTGTGAATATACCTTACTAGTGGTTATTATGTCATCATAAATTGTTTTACCTTGTTGGAAGAAGTAATTCCTTAAAAAACTTCTCTTAAATTTATGCGACTCTGAATATACCTTAATAGTGGTTATTATGTCATCATAAGTTGTCTTACCTTGTTGCAACGGTGATGACTATCAAGGTATGTCATATCAACTTTTCGCTGTGATACCAATCTCTTCATTGCCTTATGTTGACTGTTATACTGCTACTATTGGAATATAGTGGTTGTGATCTGGCCTAAGGTGATCATGAGGAAATTTCTTATTCATTTCTGTTTATTTCCAGTGATGCCAATGCCCATGTGCCGAGGACCAACATGCCATCACCAGTTTCTCTCATTGGGAGCCCCCTACTACATTCACGGTCACCACAACATCTGAGTGGAAGAATGTCTCCCTCTCCTATTTCCAGCCCTCGTACCCCATCCGGTTCATCCACTCCTCTCACTGGGGGCAGCGGTGCCATTCCATTTCATCACCTGAAGCAGCCAACCTACTTGCACGAAGGCATGGGAACAATTCCAAGGTTCCAAAACAATCTCTGCTCAAATGTCAGCACTTCCTATCATAACCCCAAGCCTGACATATTTCGAGGAATGCCACAAGCCTCTCATGTTTTCCGGGAATTAGTTTCATCTGAAAATGGTTTTCCAGGAAATCAGTTTGGACCACCTGTCCAAGGGGACTCAAGGGAACTATATGACAGACAGTCGGCATTGGCAAATCGTGTTTCCCAGCAACTCTTGAAGGATCATGTTAAGTTGAACCCCTTGTTGGACCTTAATCCAGGTTCTCCGATCCTTGGTCGCACCAACAGAATCTGACCACCTGATCAGAGCTGGCTCTCGGGCATATATGTAATCAACAAATTGTACAATAGGAATCCAAAGAGAATCTCTGAAATAAGTTTATATCTTTTGGAACCTGAAATTCAAGGAGGGAGAGAGATTATACATCATTGCATTGGGTTTTCATGTTCTGTATGGTAAGTAACAGTGCTATAAAAAAATTATTAGCTGCACTTGGGTTGAATTTATTGCCAAATTTTCTTGTAACAATTTTAGATGCTTTGGATGTGCAAAACTGATCTGGATAGCTGAAAATTTTGCTTTTACAGAAAGACGACCTCTGGGGTTCCAGCATTCAGCATTGCCATACATTGAAGAACAAATAGACTAGTGTAAAGAAGTGTACATTTTGTGGTCATCATACATGGTAGATGAAGCTCAGAGCACCTTGGAGCGATTCGACTCCAACTCCGTTGACTTGTTCATTACCGTTATTTTTCTTTCTTTTTTTTCAATTGGTGGGGAAAGGTAAGTGAAAGAACTGTACAGGAGCTTGGGTGCCCAGATTTTGTGGGAAGGCAGTTGTAGAAAATGCTGGGCATGCCATGTTCGATCTGATAATTACATGGAAGATTGAGAGCACTCTGGAGGGTTTGGACCTCATCGACTTGTTCAGTTTCTAGAGTTTAACCACTTAACCATTAGGCGCTATCGGGGTGGGATAGAGAGACTGAAAATGTCTACACCAGAGGCAGATCCAGTTTACATGTCAATGGATGCTTTCCGTCCTTCCATTTCCATTACTTAGCATATAATGTTTTGCATTTGTCTCTCTCTTGGTACTCTGTTTCTTTGCAATCTTTAATTTAAAGACAAGATAACCATAACTTGGTTCCTTTCCTGCAACAATTGTCAAAATCTGGAAAGTACTGGCATTTCTTAGTTTTAATCATATTTCTCAATGTCGGTGTTTTTCTTTTCCCTCGTCTCAACTATAAATTCAACCAGCATCCGTCTTGTTTGGTGTAACTTGTTTGGTGTAACTTACGTAGTTGTTTATATATATATATATTGGAAATCCGTTCTAGATTATTTGGTGCAATTTTTGTTTATAATTTATGATAAATAAGTTTTTAAAAAAAAAAAAAAAGTTGTTTATTGGGAAGCAAACAAGTTGGTATTTTTAACTTTTACTTTTTAATTATTAATTTTTAATTTGTAAAAAATTGAAGAAGTTACACCAAATGTGGCTGAAGTGGAAAATGGTAGAAGTGCGGACTCAAATGTGGATGAACATGGAAAGAACAAAATTTGAATAAGCTATGCACAGAAATATCCTATTATCTTGCACTTGTGACTTGTTTACATACAATCTTTCTTAAACCTTACGAGACAAAATTACTTTAGATAAAAAGTAAAGATCAATAAATAATAGTTATTTCTTCTAAGCAGAGGGAGTGATCTATGTAGTGAGATAATTATGTAAGAGCAAGTGGGGTAAGCAGTAAGACAAATAGATAAGTTGTATACTGCAGACGTCAAAATGTAATTTTGAAATCTGCTAAAATCTGCCATCCTCTTGTACAAAATGGGCAACTTTGCCATGAGTAATATATATGTAAATTCTCACCATCAAAGTCTTCTTTCTATATTTGCCCCTAACTTCCATTAAAATTTGTGAATGGATAGACAAATTTTAAAGCATAGGTCAACTGAATTATCAATTTTTGCTATTTGATCCATCTAAATCAGTCGACTCATGTTCTCAAACTGCACGGATTAATTTGAGTCTACACAATTTGTAGATAGATGGACAAATTTTAATAGATGGCAACTAACAATTTCTCCAACATCTTCTCCAATACATATTCTCACGCAAGATCTTGACGACGACTATTCTGACACATGTCAATGAGTGGACCTTAATAATTTGTAGCAAGAACAATCACATGTGACTCTGACAAAAACAAGCACGGACAAAAACAAACTCGTAATCAAAAGCAAATTCCAACTTACCAATAATTCATAACAAGGACAATCTCATGTAACTTTGACAAAAGCAAGCCCAGGAGCAAAAATAGATTCCAACTTATTTCTTCAAACTTCAATTCATTTCATATCCATCTTTCCAGTTCTACATAAGCTTATGCTTTCAACATGCAGAGGCAAGCTTTTGAATTTGCAAGTTTTTATTAGCTATTAGAGTGAGTGTGAAAAGTATAAGTGTGTAAGCAGTGTGCGTGTACGAAATAGCAAGTCGTCATTCCAAGGGCGGTGTATGCTTTGCCCAACCTATTTCCAAGCTTGTGAGCCTTTGTAAGTTTGTTTATTACTATTATGCTTTTAATTTTTGATATTCGTACTGAAATTAATGATAGTTTGTAACATATATTTGATTTAGAAGAAGAATTAAATTATTTAGCCAAACTACTAATTTTTTGTCATCTTAATCTATTTAATTCAACTTACTTATCTTCTCAAATTGCACAAGCCAATTGAACTCAGTCCTATTCAATTAAATTATTTAGCCAATTGACACGATTTAAAGAATATTTTACACACCCCTATTCAATTGGAGCATTGGCAATTGCAAATTACTGGTTTAAACATTGGAGGAATTATTTTTATTGATTAAAATAAACAGAATTCAAGGGAGCCAAGACCTGACATGTAGAGGCTAGCCAGATTACTACAACCCACTGAAACATTGTAGGAAGATTCAAAAGGAAATGCAAAGAGTAAACGACACTATTTTAGGTATCTTCATGGTTCTCATTGTGACAAACGAATCGAATTATTTATGAATAGTTTCAGCTCAATTTATTCAAAATTCGCCTGAGCCTAGTTTGTTTATTAAATAAACAAGTTTGAATTAAATTTTAAACTTATTTATTAATTGAGTCAAGCTCGAATAGTCCCAAAAACTTAACTCAATAAGACTCGGGAATCATGAACATAAAAAAAAAAAAAAAATTTAATATTTATTTTTAATAATATATCAAATAATTTTTGTATTAGTTTATTTATTTTTATATATGTTTAGCAGTATTTATATAAATTTACATATTTAATTGAGATAATATTTAATATTATTAATATAAGCATTCGTATATTTTAGTCATAATTTTTTATTTCAATAAATTAATTAACTTAAATTTTTTTTTTCAAACTCAATCTCGTTAGATCATAATTTTTTATTTTATTATTTTTATAGATTAATTAATTTAACTATACTTTTTTTTTAAAACTCAAACTTAAACTTGTTCTTATAATAAAGTAATTTCTCAAAATCGAATAGGGAATTTTTCAAATATTTGACCAACTAAACTCGAATTCAATCATTTAGACTCGACTTGAGCTTCACTCAACCTCAACTTTGTTCCGCTCAACTCCAGTTGCTTGCAGCCAGCATTGTTGATGCAACCCCAAGCCTTCCTCCATGAACATTTCTACCATTCAATCAATTCAATGCCTAAGAAGTTAAGCTCAGCATTAAGGTTGCCAATATCCATAACAGAATTGCGTAACAAAAACGATTTCAAGAATATTCATTCATAAGAAGCCGCGTGCTTAAAATACATAGATAATTTACACACATGATTAAGTCCACATGAAGAGAAAAAAAGAAATTACACAAAAGGGTGCAAAAACAAAGGCACAAGGTGAGACTCTAAAGGAGTGGAGTGTTCAAACAACTTAGGCCCTGGACTTGAAAGGAATGGCTCTGATCACAATCTGGTGGTACATAGCAGCAAGAGCAGCTCCAATGAAGGGTCCAACCCAGAAGATCCACTGAAAAACACAGATACATATATCTCATCATTTACTATCATCAAAGAACGTGAATATATATATATATATATATATGTATATCAAAAATCTGCTGTGAAGTTTGTACTTACATGGTCATCCCAGACATGATCCCTGTTGAAGATGATTGCAGCTCCAAGACTTCTGGCTGGATTGATGCCAGTTCCTGTGATGGGGATGGTGGCCAAATGAACCAAGAACACCGCGAACCCAATTGGAAGAGGAGCCAAAAGCTGAAATTGCATTTAGAAGAAATTAAAACCAGGATAGGAACATTGAATTACTAGGTCAAAGAAAGAGATTAGAGAGGTCTCTTGCCCTTTCCCTTTTTTTCAAACTTTAGGTTTTCATCTTTTCTGCTAGAAAAATAAACCGACGACTGTTGCAATGATTTTTTTTTTTTTTCTTTCTAAATTAAATAGACAATTTGAGAGTCACTTGCTACCAAACCTAAATGACTATTGCCATCTCATTTAGTTGAGATGAGTTTTCTAGAAAAATCAATAGCAAAGTTCACATCATTTCTCAATTAAAATATGTTTCTAAAGCTAACCAGCTAAATTTAGTAGAAAGAATTAATATTGTGAATTATTACTAATTTCATGCTTACAATGAAATTGTTCTAACCAATCAAGTGCTTTTGATTCCTTTGTAAAGCAACCAAAAGAAAGCCTAGACAATAATTCAACCAACCCAAGGACCAAGAAGGTAAAGATGCTTTGGTATTTCGTTGTGGATCCCACACCCTCTCAAATTCACAAGACCTAAAAAGTAGAAAGCATGCTTTCACAATACACATAATCAAACATATCACATGCAAGCAAGCCAAGCCACCCTCACCATCCTAATCCCATAGAAAAAAAGTAGAAGACCAAAGATGCAGCAATAATTTAGTATTATCAAAACCCAACCCCTCAGTTGGGGTAGGAGATTAAAAAAAAAAAAAACAATATTCCTTCCGAGCCACCTTCTACCAAACCAATGACTTCAAAACAGAACCCTTTTAACTCACCCTAAAAAGTAGAAAGCATGCTTTCACAATACACATAATCAAACATATCACATGCAAGCATCAAAAACAAAAGACAAGCCACCCTCACCATCCTAATCCCATAGAAAAAAAGTAGAAGACCAAAGATGCAGCAATAATTTAGTATTATCAAAACCCAACCCCTCAGTTGGGGTAGGAGATTAAAAAAAAAAAAAAAACAATATTCCTTCCAAATGACTTCAAAACAGAACACTTTTAACTCACTTCATATAACAAGTATTGACACAAACTCCAAATCAACAAGATACAGAAATCAAATAATCCACAAATATTTAACTTCCTGAAAAAACTCAAAACAACAGTTTCTTCATGATTCATGAATAATCGGCTCGCGTAATTCAATCCACACACAAAATAGAAGAAATCAAAGAAATAGACAAGAACCCAGATCAAGCAAATTTGTTAAAAGTTATACTATCAAAGTAATGAAGAAGAAGAAGAAGAAGAAGAAGAAGAAGAAGAAGAAAAGACATACAGGGACATGGGAGTCTCTGGCATTTCTCTTGGCATCAGTGGCAGAGAAGACAGTGTAGACAAGGACAAAGGTGCCAACAATCTCAGCACCAAGGCCATCACCCTTGGTGTAACCATGTGCCACAAAATTGGCCCCACCATTATTTGCCTGATAGATAGATGGCTGGAAGCCCTTGACAACACCAGCACCACATATGGCACCAAGGCACTGCATCACTATGTAGAAAACAGCCCTTGTTAGGGACAGCTTCCTTGCCAGAAACAATCCAAAGGTCACTGCTGGGTTAATATGTCCTCCTGTTATTCACAACAAGTTTTGATCAGACTAAGTCTGTGCAGCATAGGCCAAAGTAATTAGCAAAACAATAAAACTTAAATTTTTTGAGGTAAAAGCTAATCATCATAAGCGAAGTTAAAAGCACATCTCTGCCCATTTTTCAATGATCAATTTATTTCTACCCATCCAATTGTAGACCAAGAAAATATACTTTTTCCGTGTCTAATTTCTCATCAACCAAACAGAAAAGTGGAATAATTTCCTTTCAATTTCAATTAACTCCAAACAGCAAAAGAAATTCCTTGGAAATCCATTCCTTTCCTTTGGCAGTTTAAGATCTGAATTATAAAAGGATTTGGTTCCAAACACGCTGAATCTCCCAAATATGCTTCAACCAACACACACACACACACACACACACAGATCCACTGACAAGACTAACAAATACCCATAAATTTTTTTCCCAAAAATGAAAACTCAGTGAAGAAAAACAAAAACTTGACAAAAACCCATAAAATTCAACCAACAAATTAGAAGAAATCAGAGAAAGTTGTTGCTAACCTGAGATACCAGCAGTGCAGTAGACAAGGGCAAAGATCATACCACCAAAAGCCCAAGCAATCCCTTGAATACCCACAGAGGCACACTTAGTAGGTGCCCTAACAACACCCATGACAGTCAAAAGAGTGATGTATAAGAAGAGGAAAGTGGCCATGAACTCTGCAATCCCAGCCCTGTAAAAGGACCATGATTTCAACTCCCCTGGCTCAAACAAGGGAGCTGGAGGTGGCTCCTTGTAGTCCTTGTCTGTCTGAGCTGCTGTGCCTATTGGTTGTCTCTCTGTGAACTTGTTAGCTCCAAGCTTCACATCCTCTTCCTTACCCTCCATTGTTGCTCTGTTTTTTTCTCTCTAGAACTCTGTTTTTCTCTCCCTTTTAGAGACTGAACTAAACAGTAGTAGAAAGAAAAGCTCGAGAAGGTGGTGTGAGTGAGGATAGGGTTTGGGTTGTTTTTTATAGAGGTGGGGAGTGATTTTTAAGAGCAATCTAAAAACCTAAATATTCTATTAAAAATTTTATCAAAGGATAATATTAGGGTGATCAAATTTTTTACCAAACAAATAATTAAATGTCTCACATGGGTGTAGGGTCCGCAATTTTGTGAGCCCTACACTCATGTGACACATTTAGTCATTTATTTGATAAAAAATTTAGAACCTCTAGCATTTTCCTTTATCAAATGTTTTATATGAATGTAGGACTCACATAATGTGGATCCTATGTGAATTCTACATCTATATGAGATATTTGATAAATTTTTTAAGACCTCTAACATTTTTGAATTTTTAATTGAAGTTATTTGTTGAGACCTGTACTGAAGAAGAGGAGAGAGTGTTCTGGAAAGAGCAAAGAAAAATGCTTGGGAGCACTAATTAGTGCTCCCACTAATTAGGTGGCAGTGGGTCCCGTCATTAATGATGTGATGTTTTGGTCTTGAAGTTGTATTTTTTTTTTTTTTTTTACTTTTTTAATGCATTAGTGCTATTAGTGGTGATATTTTTAGTGGGATGAATTATTGTTGAAGAGCAAATGAGGGGTATGTTGACAGGTCATGAATAATGGTTTATTTGGTGTTCTTATCTTATTTATTCTACGGAGTGTCACCACAACTATTTATTTATTTATTTCTTAGAAAATGTTATTTACGTTGGTAAATATTCGACTGATTATTCAGTATTATCATAATATAGATGTGTGATATTTTATAAGATTTTAATTAATAAAGAGAGATAGAAACCACGATTTATATTGAGAATAGAGGAATAATATGAAGCTAAATACTTAATAATTAACTTAAGTATGACCACGTAATGTTTTAGAATTATTAAATAATTTCTCGTATATGTTCAATAAAAATATATATTCGGTGGTTTCACAATTGACTTTTCATTTAAAACAGTTAAAAGGTTAAATAAAAAAGTTATTTTAACGTTACCTCACAATAAATCTTATTTTTTTATATTTATTACTTATTAAATTTTATTAATTTTTCTTATTTTTATTTAATAAATTTACAATTTTAACTTTTTTTGCCGATAATTTATAATTTTAATTAATAGTACTGATTAGTAAGTGTTCATAAAAAAAAATTTTAAAAATTACGAAAAAAATAAAGATGCCAAACAGGGGTTGAGTTTGGAATATGTTTAAAAAGTTCCATTTTTTTTTCTATTTTTTTCTATTTCCAGTATTTTTTAACAATTATGTCAATTTTTTCTTTTACATTTTAAATGCGTGTAGTGTAGAGAAGAATCTAAAAAGTGGGGAAAAAAATTAAAGAAGACAAAAATATATATATTTAAAAAAAATTAAAAGTTCAATAAATAAGGAAAAAATAACAAAAAAAAATTACTAAAAAAAATCTCAGACAGGTGTTTAGCAATATATTGAATTGTATAAAATTTAAAATGTGTATTGAGATTTTTAATTTTTTTTTTTAACATTATTTATTTTTGACAAACTTCCAATACACAATTATTGGTAAGAACCTTATTATTATTATTATTATTTTGGTAAATAAAGAAATGCACTAATTAAGTAGGGTCATACAATAGTCTGGGGTAAATAAAGAGCCTGAAACCAAAAATGAGAGTGCTAAGTGGATGTTGCTCACTGATTTTTCCCAATATCAGGTCATTGACTAGTGTTTTTTTTTTTTGGTAAATAAAGATAACTAGCATATATAAAGATTAGACTATTTTTTTTTTAGTACATTATATTTGGATGAGTTTGATTAGCTGTGCTGGGCCATCTGATTCACCTAATCATATTAGGGAAAAGATTTTGGTCAACTAAGAAAATAAGAAAATTAAAGTGATCATATGTTGTAATGTATAGCATAATAATCTTTAGTAGTGCAATATGAGCTTAAAAAAACACACCAACTGTGCCAGTACATTAAAAAAAATAATTAAAATAAGGACAATGCTAAGGATTTTAAAAAGATTATAAAAAAAATTATTAGAATTGTGTAGAACTTTTTATAATTTATTAGAATTGTGGTCAACCAAGAAAATAAGAAAATTAAAGTGATCATATGTTGTAATGTATACAATAATCTTTAGTAGTGCAACATTGAGATTAAAAAAACACACTAACTCTGCAAATACATTAAAAAAAATAAGGACAATGCTAAGGATTTTAAAAGGATTTTCAAAAATTTATTAGAATTGTATAGAATAATTTCAAAATTTTTTTATACATTTTCAAACACTTTTTTAACACTAACAAAAGGCCTCAATTTAGTTTTTTTATTAGGGCAAATTTCATATACCTCTTTCGAGATTTAGCTAAATTACAGATACTTCTTGAAGTTTCGAAAATTACAGATACTTATCTGAGATTTATATTTTCATAGTAAATTATCTCTTAAAATTTATATTTTTATAACAATTTATCCCTTAATTTGTTATACAAATAATACTTTTAAGAGTATCTATAATTTTTCAAATTTCAAAAAAATATTTATGATTTTATTAAACTTCGAGGGATATATATAATTTGTCATTTTTATTATTATTTTCTAATATTTTTGTTAAAATCAACAATACTAAGGTAGGACACAGTTTTCTTGGTGGTTGGTAGTGGCACAGTTTTTCACCATCTTCGCTTTTAAGTTGTTTAGATAAGGACAACACCTTGGTTGGGAAAATCACAACCACAAAATAGAAATGATATTAAACAAATCGAACGGTTGAGGAAAAAACATAGCATTTTTTTTAGACCGTTGGCAAAGTGGACAGGACAGCATTGAGTGAGTCATCACATGGGCAACGGTTACTATAACCTGAAATTACCACTTCACCCTTATTATGACCTAATCAAAGGAAGAGTAAGAGTATATTTGGTTTGAGTTTGGGAAATGAGTTTTAAAGATAAAAAGTACGAAAAGTTGTTTGATTTGATTTGATTTTTTTCAAAAAATGTTTTGAAAAATTATTTTGAGAGAGAATTTTAAAAAAAGTGATTGATTTGATGTGTATGAGAGGGAGATTTATTTGGAAAACTTGTAAACCAAACAAGTTTTGAAAAAAAAATTTGAGAAAATTTATTTGGTTTGATTACTTTTGAAAACTTATTTGTAGAAAATTTTTCTCAAAAATGGGAAAAATTTGAATTGGGAGTTGTGCAGCCGTAATTGTTGACTTTTGGTGAATAGTGTTAACTTTTTAACTTTTTGAGTAACTTTTTGGCTTTTTGACTTTTTTTAAAGTCCCCAAACTTGGCCTTAGTTTGAGTTTGGGAGATGAGTTTTAAAGATAAAAAGTACGAAAAGTTGTTTGATTTGATTTTTTTCAAAAGATGTTTTGGAAAATTATTTTGAGAGAGAATTTTAAAAAAAGTGATTGATTTGATGTGTATGAGAGGGAGATTTGTTTGGAAAACTTCTAAACCAAACAAGTTTTGGAAAAAAATTTTGAGAAAATTTATTTGGTTCGATTACTTTTGAAAACTTATTTGTAGAGAATTTTTCTCAAAAATTTTTGAGAAACACAAACCAAATAAAACCTAAATTATTGTCCTCTCAAATTAGTTTATGGGGCTGCTATTAGTACTTAATTTTTTTAGGTCTTTATTTTTATTTTTTTATTATAATTATATTCTAAAATAAAATTGTATAATTTTTAATACAACACTCACCAATTTTGATTATAATGTTAGCATTTTGTTAATAGAAAATTAGCATATCACCTGTGCTATGTACAGGATAAAATAATATATTATTTAATAAAAATATGGTAATTATATTTAATTTTTTTATATTATGTAAAATAAAAGTTAAGCCAATTAAGATTTTTTTTAATTGTTTAAAATTAAGAAAATTAAAAAAAAATTAGTATATATTGATTATAAGGATTCTCACTAAAAATCTCATTTTTCTTATATAAATTGAAGTATAAGATTTAATTTATGTAAGTGAAATAATTCACTTTTTCCTTCTTTTTTCAATGTGAGATTATAAAATAAAAGTTAAATAAAACTAACCAATGGAGATTTTCTTAATTATTTAAAAGTTAATAATTGTTTGGGAGGGGAAGTTTATTTCGAATCAAGCAATCTTAGCCATTTAATATTTAATTAGGTCAATCTTTAATTTATTTCAAATCAAACAAATTTAACCAATATATTTTGATAAAACCACTAAAAACACAATTAAATCAATGAATCAGTCAAACCGAAAGCGGTTCACCCTATCAACTAGGTAAAAGGACTAACCAACTTATACAAAATTAATTAATTAAAGCGTTTAAATTTTATTTTAATTTAAAAATTTAAATTGTCTTGAACTAAAACATACATAATACTACAATATTAAATGGGAGCTTAATGTTTATATAATGAAACAAATCATTTTTTTCCCTCGTTTTCTTGATATGAGATTGTAAAATTAAAGTTAACAGTTGTTTGGACAAGAAGTTCGTTTCTAATCAAGCAATCTCAATCGTTCAAGTTTTAATAAGGCCAATCTTAATTTATTTCAAATCAAACAAATCTAAGCAATATATTTTGATAAAACAACTAAAACAATGGTTAAATCAGTGAATCAGTCAAACCGAAAACGATTCAGCCTAATCGGCTAAGTTAAAAGACCAACCAATTTACAACAAAATTAATTAATTAAAACATTTAAATTTTATCATCTTGAACTGAAACATGCACGATACTATAATATTAAATGAGATTATAAGATTCACTTTATATAAGTGAAACAACTCACTTTTTATTTTTTTTCTTGATGTGAGATTGTAATTATTTTAAAGTTAAATATTATGAGAGTTTCAAAATCTCATATAAAATTATTTTTAAAATCAAAATATTTATATGGGATTGTACAATAAAGTTAAATGGAAACTAATCAATAGAGATCTTCTTAATTGTTTAAAATAAAAAATATATATATATATTGGTATTAATTATGGGACTTCTTACTAAAAA